TCGGTTGATGGCAATGATTAGCGTATATTTATGAAGTTCAGAAGCAATTCTGTATCCATTACTTCTGTTCTTATCTTATAATATATGACAAGCCTCCTTCTGCAGCGGAAGAAAGAAGTTTTCACATCTGCGGCTGCATTTAACGTTGGTTAGAAGGTAGCTGTAATAACATCATATTCTTGTAATCTTTGTATGATGCAGTTCTCGTTACTGGAAGTGCAGTAATTTAAAAAAAAAAAAAAGTCGTCCGGTATAGAAACTTCAATTGGAGGGAATATATTAATGCAATGGATAACGACTTCACCGTTATGATACACCTCAAAAAAAATAAAAAACAAAAAAATTTGCGTTGTAAATGTGAAAAATTTATTCTGCAAGCTGTCACCTGAAAAATTGTGTTAATTTTTGTGAAGAAATTTTTTTTCTAATTCACGCTCCAGCAGTTGTTCACCTGACTAACTGATGATGTTTGATGCATAGACTACCTTTATAACCAATCGTATTTTACGAAAAGAAAGCAGCCAATTCTAAAAGCTATAAAACCACTGACATTTGAATATTTTTTTGGCAATAGTTTCACTTTACTTGTCTAAGCAATTTACTTTTCCTGGTACTCAAAAAAAAATAAATAAATAAATAAATAAATAAAGTAACATTACCGCTTTATGGCATCGCTCTTCTCTTTTTTTTTTTTTGCATTATTTATAGACAAGGCGTATATAACTGCTTTGCTTTTAGAAACTTCAGAAAAAAAAAAAAAGAAAGCTTAACCAAATTTTAATAAATTCATCCTTTTATTCTCAAAACTCGTTTAAAGATCAAATTTGTCTTAGCGACTTGCTGAACTGTTTCAACTTGTTAATTTTCGGCTCACCTAATAAACAAAAAAAAAAAAAAAATGAAAACAACTGTGAAGGTTTTTTAAGTTGTTTTGAGAGAAGAAAGAAAGATGGTATGTTTGCATACAATTTTTCTGTGACAGCTTTTAGAATCAAATGAAGATACATTGATAAACGAGTCATCCAAATAAGATTGAAAAAAAAAGCTACTGAGACAGTCAAGTGTTATACTTTAACGGAGCCGCAACAGTTGGCGTAGCATCAGTTTATGGTTGTTGTTGTTATAGAGGTGTTCTTTTTCTCGAAATCAACCGACAGTTTCAAGTAAAGCAGAAAAAAAAAA